AAAATCTCTTACCAATAGAATATTTGTAGCTCAGAGCTGAACTGTGGGGTCCTTGATGCTCTCTAAGCTCTCCGAAATCTCTTAATTAAATACTTTTTCTTTTCTTTTCCTGCCAATTTTGATTTGATTTGAGACTTCAAGCCATAAATATCCTTGACCAAATAGGTATCTATTTCTTTCCCCTTCCTCAGTATTTACCGAGGTACAAATAGTTATGTACATTGGCAAGCCAATTGAGCAGTCCTTTTAACACGTATGTCAACACTTTCTTTAGTATGTCAACCTCTTATAGAGATTTTAGTGAGAATTATGCAGTTGGGTCTGACCTGCCAGTCATTAAATTGAAGCTATATTATGAATTCATCTTCTGAGATTTGCTGCACCAGCAAATACAGAATTAAAACTACAGAGCAATTATGGGCATGAGGAATAATTTTTCACATCCCGCAAACAAAGCCACTGAATGAGAGAATAGAAGAACTATAGACAGGTTGGAACACATTTAAGGAAGGAAGGAAGGAAGAAGGAAGCAAATTGAAACCACTGAACATGTTATGCGTTTTGCCCCAACTGCTTTTGGTGCAGTTGTTTCTGAACAATTCAAAGTAAGGAGAATCGGTTTGCAAAGTGAATAGAGAAAGGTATAATATGCATCCATAAAGAAGTCAGGCCTCATCAAAAAAGAGTGAAGCATGGTTTCTCGGAGTTGTATTATGAGGTTGAACTCCTAAATGTTTATTTCCCCCCAAAAAAGCAGTTTTCTTCTAATGCATACTTAGATTAGTAGAGGGTAAGGGAGTCACATAAAAAAATATATATGGGCATGTAAAGTTGAAATGATACACATGCACTCTTCCTTACTGATGGCTGGTGGACCAGAGGATTTTGTATCTCATCTGGAACATGCATGAGGCATCATATAGCAAGTATACCATAGTACTTAGCATTTTGGATGGGGGTCACCAGCTCCCTTTCCTGAGTGGTCTAGTGTTGTTTTTATTTCACAGCTGGGGTGAAATGCTGCATATAAAATACCTTCCAGTGACCCAGGTAATGCTGCAACAGAGCAAGGTCAAAAAGTCAAAATGACAGGCCCTTCACCCCATCCCATGGTCACAGAAAAAAAGAAAACATTTGGGATAATGATGGTTTCCAGAAGTCAAGACAGCATTATAATGAAATTTGCCAAGAACCCTTTTTTGAATCTGTATGTTAAGGTAGCAAATAGGATGTCGGGATCAGCCCGTTATCTTGCTTTTATTCACTGAATTTGAATCAACGATAAAGCTTGCCAGGAAAGTTGAGTTGTTTCCAAGGCAGAATGGGAGATCAGCTAACCAGAAGCAAAAAAAAAAGAGAAAAGGGGTACAATATTTCCCTGCAATCTTTATGGAATATTTTTCTATGAAACCAGATTCAGACGCTTTAAAAGGATTTTCACCCAAAAAGATTTCTTGAAATCTCTTTACACCAGTGGTGGGTTGCCCCCGGTTTGGACCGGTTCGCAAGAACCGGTAGTAAAACCAGCGGGAGGCCCCGCCCACTGCCCCGGATGTCATCATCAGCGAACTGCACATGCGCAGAAGCAAGGCGCGCACACAATCCCGTTGCGAACCGGTAGTAAAGGTAAGTAGAACCCACCCCTGGGTTACACACCTTATTTTGTGGGGAAGACTTTTCATTGCAAACTTTAAAAATAATATTTAGTTAGTTACTGGTTGATCCAGTCTCAGATTAGTTACAGCATTGTAACAGGATTGAACGTATGGGTTCAGTTGTACATTCGTTTAGGATCCAATTAATAAGAAGTAGATTGAGGTCACCAAGAAAAATAATACTGTCTGGGCAGGAGGCTGCCCATGTTAGTAGTGAAGTTAACTTGTTCGCATGTACGACGTCATAATCAGGGGCTCTGTAACATAGTAAGAAGCGAAATGTGGTATGTAAGGACAGCTTGCAGACGATGGAAGAGCGAGTTCCTGTGTATATTTTTTAGATTTAAGGACTTTTTATAGAAGATAGCAATTCCACCTCCTCTACTGATTTCACGATCGGACCGTATAAATATGAATAACTCCGAATTCACACAACCCTGTACAATGCATTAAGAAAAAAAGTAACTTTTAAAAAGTTTCTCCCTTTTTAAAAATTTCTCATTTTTCTTTCTCGTGAAATGCATTTCTCACCCTGTCTTCCTTTATAAGCACCATGTGGTAAATATACTTGTTTAAGGCACGGAGCACATCTAACCTCTTTCCACTGAATCAGGACATTTTTATCCCTGACAATGAATTTACATCTGTGTCTCATAAATAGGCTCCTGCTCTGACCAAAACACATTCTCTTTAGGGAAAATCAAAACTAATTTGTCAACCAGAAGCTAACAATAAAAGTAGAGCTTTGCATTTTACTCAGTAATTGCTAAACTATCAAAAACGTCCTTCTCTCAGGTTCCCGTCTTCCCTGTTGACAAGGGGAGAAGCTATCGGAATGATTTATTGATTTTAATTAGCCAAACCTTTCCCGGTTTGAAAGTAAATTCTTTTTCTGTTGAATGATTGCCACTTTAAGCATTCCATCCATCTCTTACAAGTTACAGTGGAGAGCACACTTATTTTATGGTGGATATTGTAATTTCCTTGTTCAGCAGTGGACAGGTTTTTGAAGCTGTGATGCACATATTAATTCTGTGAGATGTCATAATCTTAAAAAAACAACAACACTTTAGTTGCCTCTGCATATGGCAGCAACATCCGGAAAGATAGAAACAGATGGTTTGATTAAATCAGCCTTGTACTTACCTCTACAGTGCCTGCAGAAACTGAGTATTCAGTATAAAGAAATATGATATAGGTAATACCATATGGCTCAAAAGAGGCTCTGACATAAATTTCATTTCCATAATTCTTTCTCTGATTGTGTTTCTCATCTAAAGCAGGGTGCGACAGTCTGCTCAATTAAGTTGCCTTATTATCTTTTCTTCTTTCTCTAAGATGTTAATTTTGAAGGCTGGATTGTAATACAAAGAGTAATAACTTCCTGTCCAGCCAGCCTCTAGCCCACAATTTTTAGAACAAGTACGAAAAATTAAAACCAAACGACCTTAAATTACCTTCACCAGAATCCACCCCCACCCCCCCAAAGAAAAACCACTTAACTGGATTGCAATAATAATAAAAATATTTCGCATGTCTTCACTTAAGAAGACACAACTATATTACCAAAACCATATGCCAAAGACTGGTATTACTTACATTGCCAGATTATAGCAGCTCTAATTTAGCACATATCCATAACACGACTTCTATTTTCTCCTCCAGTCATAATCATGGATTTTAGAGTTTTAGAACGAAGCTATATATCAGTTTCCCATCTTTAGTAAACTCATATTGTCTGCATGTTTGCATCTTTAGGAATGATGGGCAAGAAAATTGTTTCCTGGGTTTATTGATTGTATTTACATCCAAAAGTTTCCTCTGTGAGATTAAGGTGGCTTGCATGGAAGTCTTTCCTAATTTCCCCACACACACCCAACAATCCTGGGAGGTGAGTTAATTTTTTCAGTGTTGGATGCTTCTCCTATGCTTTGATTAATCCCACAGCAAAATATCACAGGAGCAGCTCTCCCATCAGGCTTTTTCTGATTAGCAAACTACAGCAGCCAGGGGGGGTTTTAGGATGAAAACGACAGAAAACTACACCAGTGCCCATCAGTGTTTCACATGATAATTGGCTTGATTGATTTTATTACATTTTATTTGCTCCTCCAATTATTCAAACAGCTCTCGGTGACACACAACGTATGAAAATTCTCAGACAAGTAGAAAGAAATTAATAGATAGCAACAACAATAGCAGTCATGTTTATTATTTCGTGAGAAGAGACCAAGAAACAAAAATCTCAGGGTCAGAAAGCTCCTCCACCCAAATTGTAAGACTTACAAAGCACTATCTGTTTTTTTTTCATCTGGTATCAACCACTTTTTTGAAGCTTAACTGATACCGTGTTTCCCCGAAAAAGACATCAAAAAATGTCTTATATTTTTTGAACCCCGAAAAAAGCGCTTGGCCTTATTTTCAGGTCTTATTATTTTGGGGTGCGTGGAGGAAACCAGCTGCGCATGTGTTTAAATATTTTCAGGGAGGGCTTATTTTAGTGCATGCACTCAAAAGCCCGACTGGTCTTATTTTAGGAGAAACGGTGGCAAGACCACAGATTTCAGATATATCAGTTAAGAAAATAGAGCTTGCCCATTGTCGATTTTAAAAAAGCTGTATGATTTCCTGTTACACCCGTAGGAGGATTAACATTCCTTCTGCCAACAATTCATTCTGCAGGATCCAATCTGGGTCGATGGCACAGAGTGTGAGTGTAACACTCCGCTGGGAAGAAGTTTGCTGAGGATGGGCTCCAGCATGACTCCGAAAGCTTTGAAAACTAAACTTCTGGTCCAGTAGTGGGTTGCTCCCGGTTTCGACCGGTTCGCATGAACCGGTAGTAAAACCAGCGGGAGGCCCAGCCTACCGCCCCAGATGTCATCATCGGTGATCTGCGCACGCACGACTGAAGCGAGCCGGTGGTAAAGGTAAGCAGAACCTGTTCTGGTCCTGGTGACTGACCCACATTGGAATCTGAAACATTATTCTGGGCCTACCAGAAGTTCGGGCCCGTTTCCAGCCTCCAGAGGGCCTCCGGAACCTGGGGAGGCCATTTTCACTCTCCCAGAAGCTTCAGGAAAGCCTCCAGAGCCCAGGGAGGGCAACACCCCCCCCCCGCGTGCGCCATGGTGCAAGAGGCCGACTATGCCACGCCTACCATGGCCACGCCTACCCAGCAACTGGGCAGAGAACTCCTTGATAAAATGTTTGAAGCCCACCCCTGGACATATCGTTTTCATTCATGACAATTTACTCTAGTGGACAATTGCTACACCAAACTCGATTTTGTCAGGATACTTCTAAAACAAGCTTCAAGAAGAAAATAAAGAGTAGTACACTTACTTCAAAGATGAGTGTCTCATTAGTTGGGCCAGCTGCGGACAGCTTCTCTGGATGGCTAAAAGGCCGTTGATAATCAAACATCGTTCCGGCAAAGTAAAATTTTCCAGGCCAGTCAACTGTCCATTCCTTGGTTAGGTAATATTTCTTATTCAAATTGCGGACTGCAAGGTAGCTGTTAGAGATTAGCAGTTCTTGGATTTCAATACTGCGAGCTCCTGCAGGAACGGTTACAATGGGATAATAATCTAGAAACAGAAAAAGATCAATTGGTTACGGCTGTGTCTGAAACATTACCAGATTGTTGGGGACAGTAGGCTGACTCTGTAAACCGCTTAAAGAGGGCTACAAAGCCCTATGACGTGGTAGGTAAGTCTAAGTGCTATTACTAGTTCAACAGTGGAACTCTGTAGAGATTCTCAGTCATGCAGGTCATGGTTGTCCCAAAGGTGCTTTTTCAGGAGGCAACTGGACTTTCTTGGGGTTTTTTTTTCCTTTGGAAGACGTTTCGCTTCTTATCCAGAGGAACAGAGCTGAAGAAGCTTCTTGGATGAGAAACGAAATGTCTTCCAAAGAAAAAACAAGAAAGTCCAGTTGCCTCCTGAAAAAGCTGTTGGTCAACAGTGAAACCCATTTCCCAAAGAACTGGTGAGTTACCCTTTGCTGGATATCTTCTAGAAGAAGTATGGCCAAACAGCATTGGTCAGAGAAGTGTTAAACCAATGCCTTCACTATAGAAGGGACTGCATGGTTAAACAGTTCTCCCAACTTTAGGATTCTATCATTCTAAGACCACCAACTGTACATGCAAAGGGTTGTTTTTTTTCCCCAGCAAGCATCTACAATACCGTATTTTTCGGACTATAAGACGCACTGGAATATAAGACGTACCAAGATTTTGAAGAAGAAAACAAGGGAAAAAAATAGTTTTTGGGCTCTGCACGTCCGGTTTTTGCCCTCCCTGGTCCCCAGGAGCACTCTGCAGGCCTTCCAAATCCTGTGTGTGTCCCATTTTTTGCAAAAACGGGATGCGCAGAGGGTTTGGGAGGCCTGAAAAGTGCTCCTGGGGGCTGAGGAGGGCAAAAACATAATGTATGGGGGGTTTGGGAGACCAAAAATGGGATGCGCAGAGGGTTTGGGAGGCCTTCAGAGTGCTCCTGGGGGCTGGGGAGGGCAAAAACGTGACGTGTGGGGGTTTTGGGAGGCCAAAAATAGCTGTATTCGGTGTATAAGACACACCAACATTTCCACCCTCTTTTAGGGGTGGGAAGTGCGTCTTATACTCCAAAAAGTACGGTAATAATTGGGGAAACATTTACTTGATCTGCAGGATATCTGGGATGGTAGCTACTACACCAGTCTCCCTCCCAGCTTGGGTTTTCCAAATGAGTATTTGGTGGAAAGCATACAAAGACTGTTACAGTAATGCAAGGTTGGGTGGGCGAACAGTTATGAAAATCACTGACTTAATTACACAGGGAAATTATTTTCTTACTGTTTGTTTTATGCTGGGTTAAATAATGGCCTGAGTAGAATGTACAGGAAGAATTGTCTCCTTTGCAAACTCCACAAGCATCCAAAGCAGCTTTGGATCCAAGGCGATGATCACACCCCACTTGCTGCAACAACAACAACGGAGAATGAGTGGAAGAACACCAGGTAGAAGAAAGCTGTTGCCTGTCTTTCTATCCATCTGTCTGTCCATCCGTTGGGTTCATTCAACATCTAAACAGCCTAAACAGCGGCTGTTTAAAGCTTACCTAATATATGTATGCCCCCAAAACACATATGATATTCTGCAGTGGTGAAATCCAAATTTTTTTACTACCAGTTCTGTGGGCGTGGCTTGGTGGGCGTGGTGTGGCTTGGTAGGCGTGGTAGGCGTGGTATGACTTGGTGAGCGTGGCAGGGGAAAGATACTGCAAAATCTCCATTCCCTCCCCACTCTGGGACCAGCCAGAGGTGGCATTTGCCAGTTCTCTGAACTGCTCAAAATTTCCGCTACCGGTTCTCCGAACTATTCAAAATTTCCGCTACAGGTTCTCCAGAACCTGCTGGATTTCACCCCTGATGTTCTGACTTGGTTCACACAACTTGTTAAGATGTCAGCTGACTTCTATATAAGGTTTATATGCTGATCCTTAAACTACCCAACCTTGTGTTAGATGAGTCTCCTGTGCAGGGCATGCCTATTCTGCTAATCCATCAGAAGCAGCTCTATAAGATGTTCAACAGAGAATTGTTTAACTTAGATGTCAACAACATTTGCCACAGGCACAGGATGATGTTGCAAGCAAAGTAAATATGCTTTACAGCCGAGCTAAACATTTTATACTGAATAGAATGCCGAGTTTCATCTTACTTCACAAACTCCATCAATGCACACATCTTCTTTATACAGTGAGCAGGGGGTCCCATCCTTTACTCGGTTGGACATGGCGAAGAAAAAGTCAAAATCTTCTGCTGTACAATAGAGTTTGCAACGATGTTCCTCTGAAAAGAGACCAAAATGTCCAATACAAGATACTGACCTGAAGACTTACTGACCAGACAGCAATACCATGGAAGAAGCAAAAATCCTTATACTATATTCATACTCCTTTGAACTACTTGGTAGTGGTCTGCAATATCTTTTAACATGAGTTGAAATCAGCTTTTCTGATTTCCACTTCCACCAAATCTGCACATTTGATTTATTAATCCCTTCCCAGTTTTGTAACCGAATATCTAGGATCATCTTTTTCAAGATAAGTACTTAGATGAAGATCACTTGTGCAAGGCAGCTGTCTTACAAAGTTGGGCGGTAAGCATGCAATTATCAAGGACAGATCATTTTCTGTCGAGTTGTTCATGGTACAAAATCATCAATGAGTGTCAGCCTGATTTTTAAACATCTTTGTGAAGTGGTGCATATTTTCAAGGTGGCACTTTGGTTTGAAGACTCATGTTTAAACACCTAAAAAGCTGCTTCACCAAACAATATCAAAGAAAATGTTAAGACTCAGATGACGGCAGTTAAGTTGGGAACATGGTTGTTGAGTGGATCTGGCTTCCCCATTGATTTTGTTCATCAGAAGGTCACAAAAAATGATCACATGACCCAAGACACTGCAACCATCATAAATGTAAACTGGTTGCCAAATGTTTGAATTTTGATCACGTGATTGTGGGTATCCTTAACAGCTGGAAACGTGAAGTCATTTTTTTCAGTGCTGTTGTAACATCTAAGGGCCACCAAACTAATTGTTGTAAGACAAGGACTATCTGTATTTTCTTTTTGTTTAAGTGATGGAATCTTACTGCATGTTGTATTGACTGGCTATAATGGCTTTAAATCAACATGTTTAATGAAAAGAAGGACTAGAGGTTACATGGTATTGTATTTGAGGAGCTGCCCCCCAAAAGAGGGGGTCAATCTATTCTCCAAAACACTTGAGGGCAGGACATGAAGCAATGGGTGGAAACTAGTCAAGGAGAGAAGCAACCTAGAACAAAGAAGAAATTTCCTGACAGTGAGAACAATTAATCAGTGGAACGACTTGTCTCCAGAAGTTGTGAATGTTCCAATATTGGAAGTTTTTAAGAAGAAATTGGACGACCATATGTCTGAAATGGTATAGGGCAGTGATGGCTAACCTTTTTGTCGTCACGTGCCAAAAGCAGGGGGAGCGCAGGGGGGTCACACATGCGTGTGCCCACACCCATAATTCAATGCCCCCTGGGCTCCCCCCGCTTTTGGCACACAATGGCACGGTGGGCCTGGTAGGCCTGTTTTTCGCCCTCCTCGGGCTCCAGAGGCTTTCTAGGAGCCTGGGGAGGGCGAAAACTGCCTTTCCCACACACATCCAGGAGGCCCTCTGGAGGCCAGAAACAACCTGTTTCCCAACTTCCGGTGGGCCCGGAAGGCCTGAAAATCACATGGCTGGCATGTGCATGCGCGCTGGAGCTGAACTAGGGCAATGCTTGCGTACCCACAAATATGTCTCCGCGTGCCATCTGTGGCACGCATGTCATAGGTTCACCATCACGGGTATAAGGTTTCCTACCTGAGTAAGGGGTTGGACTAGAAAACCTCCAAGGTCTATTCTATTCTGTTCTGTTCTGTTCTGTTCTGTTCTGTTCTGTTCTGTTCTGTTCTGTTCTGTTCTATTCTATTCTATTCTATTCTATTCTATTCTATTCTATTCTATTCTATTCCATTCCATTCCATTCCATTCCATTTCATATTGTTCTGTTCTGTTCTGTTCTGTTCTGTTCTGTTCTGTTCTGTTCTATTCTATTCTATTCTATTCTATTCTATTCTATTCTATTCTATTCTATTCTATTATTCTATTTCACCAAAATTGATCCTTATTGTATCTGGTTCACCTTCTACTTTGGTGTAGGGTTTCCATTTATAGTACCATCCGCGGAAAGGTTTGCTATTATACTCAGCACACTGCTGGGCTCGGAAGTCTGGACTGTTCGATGCACAGAGCTGAATGTTGCAAAGTTGATAAATGCGACTCGAGCCTTGGCAAAACTTGCCACCATGCTGAGGTCTGCAAAGAAAAAAGAAAAGCCGTTTGCAATAACAAATATGGAATAAATAATTAACTGCTGGATGCATTAGCATCATACCAGTTTCTATTATTTAATATAAATATGAAATTAAAAAGTTTTTTTTAAAAAAAACCCCAAATCATTTATATCTATGGTGAGCTGCATGAAATTGCGGGTTTTGTTTCATTTGCCTAAACAATGAATCTAGTATAGTTTAAGTTCAACAAAAAAAAACCCAAGAACAATCTGCTATTTAATACCTGATTGCTTGCTGAATAAAATTGCTGATCAACCAGAAAAATTCGCATTTATCAGGCATGTATACATTGGGCTAATTTATCTTATCTTCTGTGTCCGCGATACAAAGGGACCATTGAACGCATGCAAGCATATGAATCAAATCAAAATTTGCTAAACCAGCCTCAGATCTCTCGATCTCTCTCTTCTTTCCTTTCCTTTCCTTTCTTTCCCTTTCCTTTTAACTTAAAAGTAGCACAAGGTGGGAGGTCTCCATTTGACCAGGGCTTAAATTGAAGTCCTGGCCTGTCATGCCTTCCATCAAAAAATTTCCCAAAGCTGCCTTGCTAGGCAAAACATCATGTCTTTGACCTGTTGTGGAAAAATTAGAGATGGGTTGCTGAGGAGAACCTGTAGCTAAGATTCTTGCAGTTCGGAGAATCCCCAAATCTCACTCCTGGCTACCCCCGCCCACCCCACCCTGCCCCTCCCAGGAGTCCCCACGCAGCCTGTTTTGGATGCAGGTAAGTGCAGGGCGTGCGCTGAGGCTTGGGGAGGGTGAAAAACGGGCCTACCAGAAGTTCAGGAAGGCCGGAAACGGCTCTTTTCGTCCTCCGGGAGACTCGAGGAAAGCCTCCAGGGCACAAGGAGGGCTAAAACACACACACACACTCCCCGCTGTGGTGCAGGAGACGGCCACACCCACCCAGCAACTGGGCAGAGAACCCCTTGCTAAAAAATTTTGAAGCCACCCTTGGGAAAAATAATGGGGGAAAAAGGACACTCCACCAGGTGTTGGAGAGGTGTGGACTACAGCCTGCTGAAGATGGGACTGCGACCTGATTGGACCCACATGATGGATGTGTGACATGCGGGAAAGAACTTTTTGAGTTTTGATTTGGGTGGGGAAAACCTAGGGGCCCTTCAGAGTCGGGTTTTCCCCAGATGTGCAAATATGACAGTCCTAATAAGTCGATACATGAGGAACCCCCAGGATACAGAGTCTTGATTGCTTTGGGTCTGTTACTTGGATCCCTAACAAAATGATAATAAGGCAAGGGCAGGGGTGAAATCCAGCAGGTTCTGACAGGTTCTGGAGAACTGGTAGCGGAAATTTTGAGTAGTTCGGAGAACCGGAAAATACCACTTCTGGCTGGCCCCAGAGTGGGGTGGGAATGGAGATTTTGCAATATCCTTCCCCTGGAGTTGGGTGGGAATGGAGATTTTGCAGTATCCTTCCCCTGCCATGCCCACCAAGCCACACCACGGCCACTAAGCCCACAGAACCGGTAGTAAAAAAAAATTGGATTTCACTACTGGGCAAGGGCTACCTATATTGAATTTCTACTTGTAACATAAGTGGTTCTAGATTGACCAAAACTGAGTTATCACTGATCATTTATTCAGTAAATAAGAATTGTCCAGATTTTAGAGCTACGTCATTTTTCACCTGCACACAACTCCTAAATATACATGCCATGAAGTTACCCCTGGGCTAGATTTGGTTGAGTTGATCCAGGATTTCTTTCCTTGTGTAAAATTGCACGGATAGATTATGAAGAAATGTTCAGATCAACACATAATATTTATCTGAGAAATGATGCCTAAATCCTTATATTGTTAGTCATCACTAGAAGTTAAGCCCATTACAAACCAATTGCCATCATCTCACAATATGCTATTCAGTTAAATCCATCATGGGGAGAACTTGCTAACATGTGCAAGTTAGGAACCCAGGTGCCATTTGCACACTCTAAGACTCATCTATTTGCAAAACAAGATGGAACTTGTTGCCCTGGTTTGCAGGAATTTAATGCTATAACACCGATTTGTTGAAGAGAAAATAAACTTTCTTCCTTTTTGCTAAAGAATTTGGGAAAATATGCTCTCCCCTAGACAAGGGATAGGAAACAAAGAATTTCCTTTTTGGATAGAAATTGTGAACTCTTTGGGAGCACAACTCTTTGGGAGCAGTTTTCAATTGAATAGTCCAGTCTTAAACTTCTTGGACAAATGAATAGAATAGAATAGAATAGAATAGAATAGAATAGAATAGAATAGAATAGAATAGAATAGAATAGAATAGAATAGAATTTTTTATTGGCCAAGTGTGATTAGACACACAAGGAATTTGTCTTTGATGCATATGCTCTCAGTGTACATAAAAAGACAAGATACATTTGTCAAGAATCATAAGGTACAACATTTAATGATAGTCATAGGATACAAACAAGCAATCGAATCATACTTAAGAAGCAATCAATATCAATATAAATTGTAATGGTACAAGCAACAAAGTTACAGTCATGCAGTCATAAGTGGGAGGAGATGGATAATAGGAATGATGAGAAGACTAATAGTAATAGTAATGCAGACTTAGTAACTAGTTTGACAGTGTTGAGGGAATTATTTGTTTAGCAGAGTGATAGTGTTCGGGAAAAAACTGACTTTGTGTCTAGTTGTTCTGGTGTGCAGTGCTCTATAGCGTCGTTTTGAGGGTAGAATTTGAAACAAGTTATGTCCAGGATATGAGGGGTCTGTAAATATTTTCACAGCCCTCTTTTTGACTCGTGCAATATACAGGTCCTCAATGCAAGGCAGGTTGGTAGTAATTGTCTTTTCTGCAGTTCTAATTATCCTCTGACATCTGTGTCTGTCTTGTTGGGTTGCAGAACCAAACCAGACAGTTATAGAGGTGTAGATGAACCCTAATTGTAGCTAGTATTAAAAGAAGGTTGACTATCTTTCTGTAATAAATCTACTGTATGTCTTAAAAGACACTATATAGATGAGAAATGTAGAAGAAGGGACAACCAAAGTGATCAGGAGGCTCTGGCTACCAGAAAAGCAGCATTTAAGGCTGTTTAAGTTACAGTGAAGTAAAGTGAAGATTTAGAAGTATTTTATACAGTTACAAAAATAAGAGAAATAGGGCATTCTCTGAATTCTAATGCAACCAGTGCAGAAAGATTCAGGACTGATAAAAGGAAACGTCTCTTAAAATAAGATTAAGATTAAGATGTGAATTCAATGCCTTTAAATGTGGTGTCAGCTACCCATGGGAGAAGAAGGAGAACACACAAGAAGAAGGAGAAAGAGAATCAGAATTGGCTACAAATCTTAATTAGTTTTTGAGGTCTGTCAACTGCCTCCTGAATCATGGCCAGCATATTCTCATTACATATCAACTATAGGAGAAGAGGAGAGAAATAAAAACAGCTGTGAACTTTGCAAACGCACCTGGCTGACCACAGTGGATGAAAATGATAAGCGTGACCTGATGTAGCCTCAGGGCCCTTTGTGTGATTCATTATATATTTCAGGATGCCACAAGGCATGCTAGCTTTTTCAACAACGGATGACAGAGTTATTTTTCAGATAATTTATGGAGGGCAGATTTGCTCAATGATTGTTATCCAGGTGACAGGATGCTACTGAACACAAAGTTCTGCAAGTAATATAAGTGAAAGCCACAGGTTTCCTGTGTTGCTTATGGACTTCCCAAGAACATTTGTTTAACTGGGGGCGCAGTGGACTAATAGCCTGTTATTAACATCCAGCTGCCTGCAATTACTGCAAGTTCGAATCTCCCCAGGCTCAAGGTTGACTCAGCCTTCCATCCTTTCTAAGGTAGGTAAATTGAGGACTCAGTTGTGGGGGCAATAAGCTGACTTTGTATAAATATACAAAAGGATGAAGGCTATTGCTTAACGCATTGTAAGCCGCCCTGAGTCTGTGGAGAAGGGCGGCATATAAATCAAATTTAAAAAAAACAACTGCTGCATGAAACAGGTGGTTGAACTAAACAGAGCTCAGGTAAAATCTAAACATACTGTAAGCCAAGAAATTTCAATCAAAGCCAACGGTAGAAAAAGTACAAATTTAAATGTATACAATATTGCATTAATATTACTTTTAACATGCTACCACTAATATGTTTATTAAAAACGAGTTTTATAAAATGCTATGCTTAGAGAAACGCAGCTACTAAAAGGGATGATTAATTTTTAATAAAATTCTTTGTATTCAGTGTTTGTCTTTGCATGTGTGGTGTATGTATAAAACGTTAATATATATTAAAGAATATGGAATTCTTTAATCTATATATTAAATATTATATGTATATATTCAGATAGATAGATAGATAGATAGATAGATAGATAGATAGATAGATAATGATGGATGGATGGATGGGAGAGAGATGATAGATAAGATAGATAGATAGATAGATAGATAGATAGATAGATAGATAGATAGATAGATAGATAATAATGATGGATGGATGGATGGATGGATGGATGGATGGATGGATGGATGGATGGATAGATGGATGGATGGGAGAGAGAGATGATAGATAGATAGATAGATAGATAGATAGATAGATAGATAGATAGATAGACAGACAGACGATAGAGATAGATACATAGATATAGATAGATGATAGATGATAGAAAGACAAGACAGACAGACAGACAGATATTTAAAAAAGAATTCCATTGTCACCTACCAGAATTACAGATAACGAGAGAAACATGAGATCTTTTCATAGCAGGGCCTTACTTGGGATTGTTGCAATGTCTCTCTTGGTACGTGACTCCTCCGCCACAAGTCCGAGAACAGTCTGACCACCTAGACCATGCTGACCACTGGCCATTCACAGGTTTGGGACCATGGTCTCCAAATAGTACACACTGGCCCCTTCGACACCACTGAAGGAAAGAGGAATAGAGAAAACATGTTTTGCTAGGATGATGGCTATCAATGAATCAAAGCATGAGTTAGAAGCAAACCTACCTTTCAGGGGAAAGGAAGGTGAGGGTTGGAATGGGTGGAAAAGACAAGTGATGTGTAATGGAAATTAAGGATGAGGAGAAAAATGGCACAGTAGCAAATTGCAGAGTTTCATTATCTCTACTCATTCCCCATATCAAGGAGGAAGAGGAGGAGGATCTGCTTATCAGCTCTGATTTTAAATATAAATACTTAAGTATGAGCACTTTCACATTACAGATATACATACTGTAAATCATAACATCACAAAGGAGTTCACTACTTCTGTAAGCAAATGGTGGCATCTGACTATAAGCATAACTATGTACATACTAGCTAAAGGTAAAGGTAAAGGTTCCCCTGGCAGATACGTGCTAGTCATTCCTGACTCTAGGGGGCGGTACTCATCTCTGTTTCAAAGCTGAAGAGCCAGCGTTGTCCGAAGATGTCTCCATGGTCCTGTGGCCGGCATGACTAAACGCCAAAGGCGCACAGAACGCTGTTACCTTCCCACCAAAGGTGGTCCCTATTTTTCTACTTGCATTTTTTACATGCTTTCGAACTGCTAGGTTAGCAGAAGCTGGGAGAAGTAACAGGAGCTCACCCCATTATGCAACACTCAGGATTCGAACCACTGAACTGCCGACCTTTCGATCAACAAGCTCAGTGTCTTAGCCACTGAACCACCACGTCCCCATACATACTAGCTACCAGGGGTGAAATCCAGCAGGTTCTGGAGAATCAGTAGCGGAAATTTTGAGTAGTTCGGAGAACCGGCAAATACCACCTCTGGCTGGCCCCAGAGTGGGGTGGGAATGGACAGTTTGCAGTATCCTTCCCCTGCGACACCCACCAAGCCACACCACACCACGCCTACCAAGCCACGCCCACAGAACCGATAGTAAAAAAAAATTGAATTTCGCCACTGCTAGCTATGATACTGATGCTGGGACTGCTTGCTTCTGCCCCATCTGATGTGTCTCCCACATTCACCAAGAAGGATCTGGAACCTGGATTTTGATCCTGAGATGCAAACGCATTCCTCAAAAGTATCCCAGACCCATCTAGGACATAGCTTTCTTTTAGATTCCTTGTTCAAAACAAGTAACTACCTACTTCCCCAAAAACATGCATTTCAACCTGGAAGAGGTGTGCATTCTATTGCAGTTTCTTTAACTTACCATGTTTATTCCACACAGTGTCCCTTCTGCAGCAGGCATAAACTTCGTCTCGCAGCGATGGCCAACTTTATGGCACCAGAGTGATTTGCATATATCCTGAGTATATTTTTGTAAGAGACAGCAAGAGAGAGAGAGAACGCTCTTATCGCTTTTAGCTTTCATATTCAAAGTAAACCAGCATTTTCATTCCAAGAGTTTCGTTCTTCTAGAAATAGTATGTTCCATGCAATATATATTATAAAGGGTTTTACTGTTTCTACGCTTTTATTCTTCGGTTTTTCATAGGTTGTAAGGTTATCACTTTTCCAAATGGCTCAGCAGGTGGCAGTACCTAGCTGACCTTGGCTGATTTCGGAAGCTAAACAGGATCAAAACTCATTAACCCTTGGATGAGAGGCTTCCTGAGAAACTCTTTGTTGGCTAGACCAAGAGTTGAGACAAACGTCTGTGATTTTGTTAAGAAAGCTACCCAACTGCCCTGACCAGGAGTCGAGCTGGACTGAATAGATCTTCATCATGACCTTCTTCCAAGTTGTACTTGCAGATCCTCAAAACTGAGCTCTATTCCCATGATTAATAGATGCCATGAATGAATTGGGAAACTGAGGCATTCCTATTCCCCGATCCTCAGCTTCCTCCACAACACAAGGACACACAGTCATTGTATACGCTCTACAATTACAGATTTCTTCCTGTAAGCCCAATCCTTTTTCCTGCAGTTACAGTGGGCCCCTTCGACTTCCAACCCAAAGCAATGCCTTCAAAGCAAGCCATGGCTTTGCCCGACCATTTGAAGATTTAGAAACCATGAAGACCCTGGAGCTGCTTGGAACCCCTCCATTCATTCATAAACCTCTTGCTAAGAGCTCATTGTTCTTCTGCGGTGCAAGTTCTAACGTTGTCAGGCCCTGCACGGTTGGCAAGGATGTTTCCCAATACTAATCAGAACTGTTGGAAGTGTAAAATACAGAAGGGGACTTACTACCACATGTGGTGGTCATGCCCCAAAGTCAAAAAATTTTGGAAAACAATTCAAAGTCAGCTGGAAGAAATTACCGCCCAAAAAATACCCCTCAGACCGGAAACTTACCTATTAGGTATACTGACAAAGGACTATAAAAAAGAGACACAATACTTGATAATACACATCCTAACTGCAGCTAGAATCGTTTTCGCACAAATGTGGAAATTGGAAAACACGCCACCAGAAGAAAAAATAATACAAAAAATTATGGAATGTGCAGAAATGGACAAATTGACCAAAGAAATACAAGGAAAAGAAGATACAGACTTTTACTTAATTTGGCAAGAATGGTACAAATGGCTAGATAAAAAAGACACGAAATAAGAGACTACCACCCAATGATACAAAAATAAGGAAATAAAAGGAAATATCGTTATATAAACATTGATACAAGATGAAAGATAATATATATAGACATATTGATATACAATTACCGAAGTAACTCTACTTTCAAAGTTCAAGTTATGTGACTTGATTTCACTGTATAGTTAGTTTATGTCTAGTTTGTTTTAACGTTTATGTCTATATGTGTATGTTTGTTTACAATAAAAAATTAAAAAAAAAAAAGTACCTTCACGAAACTCAAGTTGCAGAGTTTTGCTTTTGCTCCAAACTGCCACTTGCATTGTGTATCAGCATCATAGATCTGTCCTGGGAGTTTATCGGGATACTTGTATTGTCCAGCTTGTTTGGGCTCATCTATCAGACAAGCTGCCTGAGCAGTGCTGTGAAAAAGAGCATCAACCATCTAAAAGCTTTGCTCTTCCACAAAAACTGGTTCCAGATTTGAAAAAAAAATGCAATTTTCTAGGCTTGGACTTACTTGAGAAACTTGTTAAGGTACTGCCGGCTACACACCGACCATGAAAACACTCCATTGTTGCCTATGAGAGTGGGAGACATGATGTTACCTTCAGCTTTTCGACAAGGGTTTCCTTCTCCATCGTGAATCATGCCAAAACTGAGCATCCCAGAAAAAAGAGAAAAGAAATCAATTTATTACAGCACCAAGGCCAGATACAATAGAATATTTCATAGTAGAATTGCTGCCTACTTGTAATATATGCGTAACAGAAAGACAAATATAGTCAGCATAAAATAATTAAGAACAGATGTAATAAAATAAGTGGTTTAAAGCACCCTGTTATTAACACAGCTGCCTGCAATTACTGCAGGTTCGAATCTTACCAGGCTCAAGGTTGACTCAGCCTTCCATCCTTTCTAAGGTAGGTTAAATGAGGACTCAGTTTGTGGGGGCAATAAGCTGACTTTGTATAAATATACAATGAAGGCTATTGCTTAACGCATTGTAAGCCGCCCTGAGTCTCTGGAGAAGGGCGGCATATAAATCAAATAAAAATAAATAAATAAATAAATAAAATAAAATTAAACAGAAGAAATATAAAACTGTGAGCAGTTTCAAACTCAATAGTACGGTGTATTGTAGGGATGGTAGCACAAAATTGGGAAACTTTGAAGAAGTTAGCACTCACTAGATAAGACAATCTATAACTGGAATAAAAACTTACTATACTTATGATACTAACTGGTCATCATTACTGAGAATTCTGGAAACTGAACTCCGACACATCTGGAGGGTACTATCTTATAGAAGCTTCTCTGGGTGATCTAAGCTCACAATATTTTAAGATCAGAATTCTGCCTGGTGAACTAACTTACTGATTTAAAACACCAGAATGATCTATTAGTTAGGGCCTTTGAAATGGTTGCGGAAAAATGAAGTTCAACCCAACCATTCTTGATATTTCAAAAATAGCGGTGGAGGTAATGCAGGCCATAGTGAAATTCCTTGAAAGAAGAGTGATGCGTGAAACTAACTGAATGCTTCGTTGAAGACTAAGCATTCATTTCTCTTTAAATGCCCCTGTGTTATTTTGCAAAGCCGGTGGTGATTATTGACACAAAACAGCCATCCCGGTGATGGCATCTAGACTTTAGCATTTCTTTTCAGAGAAGATTTGCTTGCCCCATTAATCTTTTGCCATCTAAAGCCATTAACAGGGCAAGACCTTATGGTTGCAAAAGATATTTGGGACAGAGATCAATTGGCTTATGCTCATGTACAGCATTAGATGCTTACTGTTGTTAGTGCAATGCACACATTATTTTAATGCTATTCTATATCTTCTCCTTTCTGCTTTGACAGCCTAAAACTTTGTCGAAGTTTTAGGGATGGAAAAGTTGGAAAGAGGGGAGTAAATGAATGGGCTTTGATTTTTTTTAAAAAAATCATGTGCCTTCTTCTGGTGCTACTGTTGCTATAGATCCGCGATGGTGAACCTATGGCACGCGTGCCACAGGTGGCACGCAGAGCCATCTCTGCGGGCACGCGAGCCGACGCCCAGGTCAGCTCCACCACGCATGCTCGCGCACCTCCCGCCGGCCAGGTGATTTTCGGGTCTCTGCTGGGAGACGCATGTGCATGCATGGGAGGTGGAGGGGCACATGTGTATATGTGGGGGGGAAAAGGCCTGCGGGGGGCATTGCATTATGGGTGTCGGCACACACATACGCACTGTCAAGTGCGCAATCGTGCTTTCGGCACCCGAGGGAAAAAAGGTTCGCCCTCACTGCTATAGATCATTGCTTCCCAAACTTAGTTCAGTGACTTAAAAGCAGGGGTGGGCTGCTGAGGGTTTGCAGGGTTTTCGGAGACCCTCTAGCTAAGATTCTGTGCAGTTCAGAGAACCCCCAAATCCCACTCCTGGCTGACCCTATCCACCCTGCCCCTCCCCTCCCAGGAGTCCCCACACGGCCCGTTTTGGATGCAGGTAAGTGCAGGGCATGTGTGGAAGCTCAGGGAGGGTGAAAAACGAGCCTACTGGAAGTTTGGAAAGACCGGGAATGGGCCCGTTTCTGCCTCCAGAGCCTGGAGAGGCTGTTTTACCCTCCCGGAGGCTCAAGAAAAGCCTCCAGAGCCCGGGAAGGTCAAAAACACCCACCACCACCATGGTGCAGGATGCCGACTAGGCCACCCCCACCATGGCCACGCCCACCGATCACCCAGGGCTTTGTTAAAACATTGTTAAAATGTTTGAAGCCCACCCCTGCTTTAAAAGGGATCTGTGGGGCGCTTAATGCTCTCAAAGCTTGGTGGTTTTCTTGCAGATACTGCTTTACCAAACTAGGTAACATCATCAAAAAAAAACAAAACACCAAGCTCAGAAAATCCCAACAACCCCACAGTTCAACCCTTAATTAATTATTTTCTCTAGCATTGGTTAAATGGGAACCGCCTAGGGAGGAATGCTTGTTTCTTTTATTATTCCTTGGTCCCATGAAAAAGAAGCGGAAAGAGATAGAATGAATCTCTTCCAGGACTGTCCACTGTGATGCTGACCCACCAGAAATGAAAATAAAAAGAGAGGAAATGTTCAATAAAACTGTGCCCCAGCCTCCCTGCCAACAGCTTTTATGACTGAAAAAAAAAAATGACATCCTCATCCATCGTGCATTATTTGCATATGGAGTAGTGATACCAAAGATAGTGTTTCTTAACTTCATCAACTGTAAGATATTGGGGATTTCAACTCCCCAAATTTCCATGCTGGCTGGAGAATTCTGAGAGTTGAAGTCCAGGCATCTTAAAACGGTTGAGGTTGCGAAACTGATCAAAAGGGAAGGGATGGTGGCCTCGTTCATGGAAATAGAGCACCGTTTCTGCCCTTTCCCAAGAGAATAAACCATTTTAATTATGGAATCTCCATCAATGTTATTCATCCCCACAAGTTGGATAGAGAATTTGGGGATATTACCAATGCTGCCCTCCAGGTTTTTTTCATTTTTAAGCCTTTGGCTTCCATAATTGACATCAACTTCATTGGTGAAGTTCCTTCATAAGGATGTTCTATTAAAACCTATAGGGGACGCGATGGCTCAGTGGCTAAGATGCTGAGCTTGTTGATCGAAAAGTCGGCAGTTCAGTGGTTCGAATCCCTAGCGCCATGTAATGGGGTGAGCTCCCGTTACTTGTCCCAGCTTCTGCCAACCTAGCAGTTCGAAAACATCTAAAAAATGCAAGTAGAAAAATAGGGACCACCTTTGGTGGGAAGGGAACAGTGTTCCGTGAGCCTTTGGCGTTTAGTCATGCCGACCACATGACCACAGAGACGTCTTCGGACAGCACTGGCTCTTCAGCTTAGAAACGGAGATGAGCACCGCCCCATAGAGTTGGGAACGACTAGCACGTATGTGCGAGGGGAACCTTTACCTTTATTAAAACTTATAAGCTTTATTTTTTTTAAAAAAAAAACCTACCTATAATTGTTTCAAACGTTCTCTCCCCTCCATAATTACTATCTGACTGCTAATAGGATCATTAGGCAGCACTTCTAAAGGATTGTCTGCCTCTAGGCAACTGAAGGCCATTGTTGCCAATTTCCCATATTATTCAGCTGGAAAGGCACATGCTTGGACAAACGACAGTGGGGGAATTTCCTAGCAGTTATTGGCAAATGAATGAAGCTCAGTCTTTCCAAGATGCTTTTTTTTTTTTTTGGAAGACATTTCATAAATCCTTCCTGTCCGGATATATCAACAATGATATGAAAGAGAAAATTAGGAAAAAGGAGGAAAAGGAGAAGAAAAATCTCAAAAAAGAATGTCATTTACTGTGCAATCATCAAACCGGAAGATTATAATGCAAAATTATCGCATAATTCTTTTTTATTCTCACTGAACTCAGTCTACTATCTATACTGCTGCGGATACAGCTCTACAGAGGAATTATTGAGTCTGTCATTTGCACCTCCATAACTGTCTGGTTTGGCTCTGCAACCCAACAAGACAGACACAGACTTCAGAGGATAATTAGAACTGCAGAAAAAACAGTTACTACCAACTTGCCTTCCATTGAGGACCTATATACTGCACAAGTCAAAAAGAGGGCTGTGAAAATATCTACAGACCCCTCGCATCCTGGACATAAATTGTTTCAACTCCTACCCTCAAAACGATGCTATGGAGCACTGCACACCAGAACAACTAGACACAAGGACAGTTTTTTCCCGAATGCCATTACTCTGCTTAACAACTAATTCCCTCAACACTGTCAAACTATTCACTAAATCTGCATTACTATTACTATTAATCTTCTCATCGTTCCTATTACCCATCTCCTCCCACTTATGACTGTATGACTGTAACTTTTTGCTGTATCCTTACAATTTATATTGTTTCCTAGTATGATTTGATTGCTTATTTGTATCCTATGACAACACATTAAGTGTTGTACCTTATTATTCATGACTAATGTATCTTTTCTTCTTATGTACACTGAGAGCATATGCACCAAAGACAAATTCCTTGTATGTCCAATCATACTTGGCCAATAAAGAAAAACTACATATAAAAATGTCCCTGCCTCATTGCTAAGTAGGTCATTCCTTTAACAGCATACAAATTGGATACGTAGAGAAATACATGGCTAAATCTCTGGATAATCCCTGTTTTTTCTGACCTCGCCTCTGGATTAACATCTCTGTTCACTTTCTCTCACCCTGTGATTGTGTCTCATGGTTTTGGCCTGTCAGTTTGTTTTGCCACTTATCTACTGGGTGATCTGATCCAGAGACCAACCAATCCCTGTCATCATAATATTACTCTGAGAAAAGAAGGGTAGAATTATATCACAACAGGATTAACCAATCTGTGCTGATGAAGCAGACTTTTGAAACAGGAAAAAAAAATTTGGTTCTGAGATGAAGGTTGTGGGCATGCCTCAATTGTAATGAGTATGTGTCCCCGCATAGTTCTGCCCCCCTTCCCTACCCTCCCCCCTTACAAAATAGTGCACATCTCAATTCAAAAGGTCCAAGGACTGAATTCCCGACACTCATTTTTTATGGTTCGCCTCCCACCCGCCAACCATCCAAGACAACGCCTGGCAAAAATTAGCACTGGGTTAGGATTAGTCTTTTAATTCCTCATTTCCTTTCAGATGAAGAGGAATCAGTCAAAGGGCCACTCATGCAGACATGAGGTCAGAGCCAGTGGTTCACTGTGTGTTTACAGAGTCAGGACTGAATAGCTTGGAACAGCTCATGCAGAATTGGGGATTCACCTAGCATGCAAAGACTGCAGCTTGGCTGTTGATAATTTAAAAAAAAAAAAAGGATGAGCTGAATGGAGCTGTCAACCAACAAAGGAGAGTTTCTGTGTGGGAGACATTTCCATAAGGCCTCCTCACAAAAGGACATTCCTCAGCCTCATCGCTGTCCGACTCCGCTGCCAACTCCGCAGGCTACAGGTGGACCACAACGCCATCGGCGCATACGTGCGGTGTAAAAAACACAGCAATATAGGACGGGATTGTGCCCAGACGGGTGGGCAGGCCCACCTGCAAGTCGCCACTGCCGGTTCGCCCGAACCAGTCCGAACCATCTGAATACACCTCTGGTTTTAACTATCTTCTCATGTTTCTCTATAACCTTTGGTGATTGAAAATATTGCCTCCTCCTTCTCATATAATGTCACTATAAGAGGCAATAAAACCCTACGACCAGATCTCCAAAACCAAAATTGATATCAAACTGGGCGTTAATAGCCCAGAGCGCTATGTTAAGATTACAATGAATGAAAAGCATTTATCTTTGATGCATTCGGTAGGGATAAAAATGCATGAGAAATTGCTTACTTGTGTCCAGATTCATGGGCAATAGTAAATGCCAAAGCAAGGCCCGTATCTTCATTGATGGTGCAACTCCGGTATTTGCTGCACATTCCACTGATTGGAGCAAAGCCTGCCAGGAAATTACAAGAAATAGGAAGCATTGTGGAGGAAAAGAATGAAATTATGAAAAGAATTCCATTCTGCTGCCTAACTTTGTGCAAATGGAGGCCATGTTTTAGAGGCTGGACATTCACTGCGTATTTTGTTACCTTGTGTAAATGGAACAGATAGACAAATGGAAATAACGGGGTCAATCCAAGATAAATGCATCTTGTCTGCAACAGCTGGCCTGCAAAACTAACACGAGCTCATTTTCTCTGCTGACTCAACATCAGTCTAGGTCAGCTGGGAAAACGGGTTTTAAAAAGAGATGCCAATTCTTTTCTGAAAGTCAGCCAGGAGGAATTAAGAATGGTCGGCTAGCGATATTTCCAAAATCTAAAACAACAGAACTGGGAAGCTTCCTGAAGCACAGTGGCCATGTTTCTCTCATCCAGGTAATTCTTCTTTGGGGGTGTCATTTACAATTGCCCCAAATCCTGCTGTCAATATTTTTTTTTTTAATTTGATTTATATGCCGCCCTTCTCCGGAGACTCAGGGTGGCTTACAATGTGCTAAGCAATAGCCTTCATCCTTTTGTATATTTATACAAAGTCAGCTTATTGCCCCCACAAACTGGGTCCTCATTTCACCTACCTTAGAAAGGATGGAAGGCTGAGTCAACCTTGAGCCTTGGCGAGATTCGAACCCTGCAATAATTGCAGGCAGCTGGTCTTAATAACCAGCTTAATAACAGGGTGCCTTAAACCCCTGTACTACCAAGGCTCTTATTGAAGGAATAAGTAAAAGTTAAGAGATCAATATGATTTTTCGTAATCTGTATTTTCCTAATGGTTTTGCCTTGGAGTTTCAATTAGACATGCATAGAGAGGTTTAATGTTTCCTCATGCTACTCTGTCTGTGTGTGTGTGTGTGTGTGTGTGTGTGTGTGTGTGTGTGTGCGTATTCCAGTGGAGGGTTTCAAAATTTTTTACTACCGGTTTTACTACCTAGGTGTGGCTTGGTGGGCGTGGCTTGGTGGGCGTGGCAGGGGAAGGATACATTCTCTCCCCAATCCAGGGGAAGGTTACTGCAAAATCTCTATTTCCTCCCGATCAGCTGGGACTCGGGAGGCAGAGAATAGATGGGGACGGGGCCAGTCAGAATTTTTACTACCAGTTCTCCGAACTACTAAAAATTTCCGCTACCGGTTCTCCAGAACTGGTCAGAACCTGCTGAAACACACCTCTGGTGTATTCCCTTCTCATGTAGTCCTGAGCCTAATACTCTTCTCCTCTCTATATTCAGAATATTTAAAAATATTGAAACAATAGATAATAAAATAAACATTAAAATTAATAAAATTTTAACATTAATATCATATATAGTTTTGAACATTATCTTGGGACTATCTATAGGAGCATAGATGTATAGGACTGTCCAGAATAGATGTATAGGAAGTTATCTAGAACAACAGTCCTTAGTACCAACTAAGCCAATCACATTTCTCCTTCTTCAAACTATCAGCAATGTTTGCTATTGATTGGCTAATAGCAACAGCAACCTCTGTTAATCTACCAATTATATTTGGTAAAACAAATAATACTGAACCTTGTTCAGTAAAACAAGGTTTGCCTGATGAATTCTGAAGCCAATTGGTTACGGTATTTCTAACACATCATTTTGAGCTCCTTGGTGCTTTCTGAGCTTGGTGGCTTTCTTGCAGACGTTTCATTGCCAAATTAGGTAATATCATCAATGTAGTAGTTGAGTAATGAAACGTCTGCAGGGAAATCACCAAGCTCAGGGAGCACTAAGGATCCCACAGTTGAACCGTGAGCTACAAATATTCCCTTCTGCCAATTGATCATTTGCCATCCGTGTCCCCATGTTTCTCTTGTCTTACCTAAAGTGTCACAAGGCTCATTCTTCCAGGAGCAAATATCAAATCCAGTAAGCAAGATAGCATGATCGTGCCTTTTCCCGTTCTTTCCAACCAGAGCTGACTGCCATTGGCAAAAACTGTTCAGTGACTGGTCTGCATGATGATTGATCACTAGTCCCCCCTGTAGAAAAATTACAGATGATCGCACAGCACAATCCCCAGTAACACAAAAGAAAAGAAGATCTGGGGGGGGGGGCAATAAAAAGTAGATGGAGACATGAACATGAAATTTGCATTTGCTTTTCATTGTTAAAATCAATACTGTTTAGGATTCAGTGTTCTGAAGGCCACTTTTTAGAACATAGAATCATAAGGCTGGAGATCTCAGGTCTTCTAGTCCAGCCCCTTGCTCAAGGCAGGATGCTTTATATCAGAGGTCTTCAAACTTGGCAGCTTTAAGACTTGTGGACTTCAACTCCCAGAATTCTGGGAGTTGAAGTCCACAAGTCTTAAAGCTGCCAAGTTTGAAGACCTCTGCCTTATATCATGCCAGACACATTGTCCAATCTCTTCTTGAAAACCTCCGGCGATGGAGCACCCACAAATCCAGGAGACAAACTGTTCCGTTGATTAATCATTCTCAATGTCAGGAAACTTCTCCTTACTTCTAGGTTGTATCTAGATCTTTAACAGGCTTCTAACCCATTATTTCGTGTCCTGCCCTCTGGTGCTTTGGAGGATACTGTAAGTCAGCCATGTTTTCCCTTTTCATTTGTTTACATTTAGCTTATACTACCTTGTCTTGGTTCCTTATCTAACAAAAACCATTTTGAAATACCCTTGAAAGGCTGCCAAATTAATTATCAACTTTTATCTCTGTCACCTATTATGATAGTCAAATTCAATTATATGTATATAATACCAAGGCATGCAGCCAGAACATACATGCACGTCTCTAGTATAAAATTAAACAGAAAAAGAGCTTGCTCCTTTAGCATTCTGATGAAAAATCTTTTCTGTCTGGTATTTTTAGTGTGAGTTTAAGAACCTTGTGAAAATATAGCAGAAACCAGTAGCAGTCCTTAGACAATACAGCATGGGCAACCTTTTTTAAAAAAGCCATGTAACCTTTAAAGGCAAATTGTTGAGTAAAGCTAAGTGAAACATGATCGTCAACCACTGCAGATTATAAATATATCAAATTTATATTTCGCTGATAAAGAAATAAAGGGAGACTAGTATAGATCTATAGTATAGATTCTATTTCTTTATCAGCGAAATATAAATTTGGTATAAAATGGTTTGTCATGAATGCGACTGCTTGAGGGCACCTGGATTGGAGCTGAAAGGCAAAAGGGATGCAGTACACTCCCTCCCACATGCTGGAGTAGACAAGTTTTTTTTCCCTTCTCTCTCTCTTTTCAAGACATCATCTATGTTAAAACTGAGTCCCAGTTTCAGTGCTTTCATCTTTCTGGAGCCCTTTATTGATTTGATTTTGAGGAAGACCATTAAGTCTATCATCCTTAGCACAATACAAAGCCACTCACATTTTTCATATTTCATTTCAATAAGAGCCGAGGTAGCGCAGTGGTGAGAGTGCAGTACTGCAGGTGGCTTCAACTGACTGCTAGCTGCAGTTTGGCAGCTCAAATCTCACCAGCTCAAGGTTGACTCAGCCTTCCATCCTTCCGAGGTGGGTAAAATGAGGACCCAGATTGTTTGGGGGCAATAGGCTGACTTTGTAAAACTGCTTAGAGAGGGCTGTAAAGCACTATGAAGTGGTATATAAATCTACGTGCTATTGCTATTGCTATTTGAGGAACAAAACAAGGGAAAAGGAACAACAACACATGGGAACATACTCTTGAGAATCAATGGACTCCCATCTAAAAGCCTAAGAAGGACAAAGGACATTTGCAAACATCACAGAAGAAATACACATAGCTATTCCTTTCCATTTCTAAACAGGGAAACAAGTTTCCCCTTAAAGCAAGGTAGTGTGAGAAAGAGAATTAAGAAGGGCCCCATCTTAATGTACTCCTGATAAAGGGTGAATTAAAATATGTACAAATCCAGTTTCCAAGATTCTATAACCTTATCCTTTTTTCTTTGTAATAATTCTAGCTAAACAAAACTCTGTGAGAAACTACTTTTCTGGGTTACTGTTATGGATTTGACACTCATTGTGTTATTGCATATGGTTCATAAACTCAAGAGAATCACCATGAAAATAAATTCTTCAGAGCAATTTCTTATGTAACAGGCTTGTGTGAGAGCCTCAATGTCCCAACCCCTAGCTCCATGTAAAATACATTCTGACAAAAATGATGACAAATCACTCACAGGTTCTTGCTCCAAAAGAAGAAGGCTCACAACAACGATATTGATGTCACTTCCAATGGTACCATCCTTGAAAAGACTTGAGACCTGTGAAAAGATTAACATGGCAAAGAAGATAAGGAAGAAAAAACAAGTAAAACCGATAGGAAGATGAAATTCACTCCTGACACAACTATGAAATTAAAACAGAAATGGACAATTGAAGGCTTGAGGGACACATGGAACATATCTTCTCTTTGTTTGAGCCTTATCAAAAATCGTGCAGGAAAATTTGTGTGGTAAACCAGTATATTTCAAAGACACTTTGGGGTAGGGTGGGGGCATTAAGTGAGAAAATGTGAAAATATCTCAACAATACTAATCTAATCAAGTAAACACAAGATTGACATAGTAGCATTCCTAATTCTTGATGGAAACTCTAACAGACCATGCAAATACGGACAATGGAGGACAACTATTATAGGAGAAAAAGGGCCTGGAATCACACAAAAAATATTTTCCCTCTAGAGCAGTAGATTAAAATAACTCTTAGCCTGGTTCCTACTACACATTTGATTTTGATTCAACATGTTATGGATGCCCCAACTACTGCATTTGTCTATCCAGTTTTAGAGTTTTGGTTATCATAAACCGTATTTTTCGCACTATGAGACGCACCTGACCATAAGATGCACCTCGGTTTAGAGGAGGAAAACAAGAAAAAAAATTCAGACGGAGCCTTAGAGGACCACAAATAGGTGTCCTCTCATATGCCAGCTCTGCCTATTGACTCCTGCACTGGGGAAAAGAGACAGAAGAGGCAGGCAATAACAAAGACAGAAGAGGTGGGGTTCAGCACTGTAAAAGGACCCCGCCGCCACAGCCCAGCTGCTATTCACCAAAGGATCGGCACCCTTTCCACCCACTTTTTTTTTGGGGGGGGGGGGGTCTTATGGAGTCTTATGGAGTGAACAATATGGTAAATTATCTAACCAATTGTGGTTGACAATTAAACAAATCATGGCTTAATAGAGCAGTATGGCTCACGCCATTTCTGAATCTTAGAAAGCCACTGCAAAAGGAGGAATCTGTTGTGGCCCACCAGTGGCCAGTGGAGCTGGTGGCCGACTCAGACAGTGAGGAGATTGGGGAGGAATGTGGGCCAGGCCTGGAGTCTGGGGAAGGCTCTGATGAGTGCTCTGCATCAGAGGCAGAGATGAGGCCAGGGCCATCTAACAGTTGTCAGCTGCCTTCGGAATCGGATGTCAGTGGGGCAGAAGAACAGCTGAAGCCTGTTCCCAGTGTGTGCATACACAGAGCTGCCAGGAGAAGGGAACAGCTAAGGAACAAGGGTCAACTCAGGAGTAAAGCCACAGGCGGATGAAGAATGGCCCCTCCCATATGGAATAAAGAGGAGCAAAAGGGGAGTGGAGTTTGCAGGAGACAATTAGTTTGCTTAATTGGTTCGTGACTCTCAGAGACTTCTTGCCAAGTTTTGAAGATATCGGCCTGGCAGCTCTCCTAGCCAGATAAATTCTGTGACTGTAAATTCTTCCTTGAAAGACTTTGCTGGATGTGAATGAGAGGAATTCTCAGTAACTTAATAAAAAAGGTTTTTTGTCGGGACAAGGAGTCTGCTTCCTGCTCTTGGGAAACCTAAGTCAGAACAGAATCAACTGCAGTAAATGTTCAGAAGACGGTCTTGAATAGGTAACTTCATAAGGCAAGACAGTTGATCCTTCAGAAATCAGCAAGGGTGTTATAGCCCGAGACCAAATCTTTAAATTCCTTCTTCAAGGAAATAATATACCTTGGTATCTCCTCTGTCCTGAACTTCAGGCTCTGTGCACCCTCCTCATTAATGAAGGGGTTCAAGTAGCTGTGTCTAGTGCCAAAGAAGCAAGCATGCACTCCCACTCCTGCTAACACAAGCGAGGAGAAAGGTCAGGAGGGGAAAGAGGGAGCAAGTTCATAACCTCATTTCCTTCCTCACTTTGAAGCAAAGCGTAAACACTCAAGCAGGGCCACAGCACTGATGGCATTGTGCTATTTAATCTAACGTGACAATGTGGCTTGTTTGTTATCAGTGCTGGGCATGGACCCAGTCGAATCCTGGGGCAGAAAGAAACGGCTTACGAAAGCACTCCATTCAGTATCTGTTATCTATCTTTGTCGCTACAAGACCCATCAGGCAAATACTAAATCGAGACTCTTTTAAAGAGTCTTCCCTGCTTGAATAGTAGTACATTGGGAACAGATAGATGAATAAATGTTCTTACTAATAATGATATTCATAGGTGCCTTGTGTCCTAGGCACCTTCCAGGTGGACCACTGTAACACACCATCAGTTGGCTGCTCTTGAGGAGTATTCAGAAGCTTCCGTTCAGTGGTGAAATTCAAATTTCACTACTGGTTCTGTGGGCATGGCAGGGGAAGGATATTGCAAAATCTCCATTCCCATCCCACTCTTGGGGGGAAGGATATTGCAAAATCTCCATCCCCACCCCACTCTGGGGCCAGCCGGAAGTGATATTTGCCACCTGGTATCTTCGTAGTACTCAAAATTTCTGCTACCGGTTCTCTGAACTGCTCAAAATTTCCGCTACCGGTTCTCCAGAACCTGTCAGAACCTGCTGGATTTCACCCCTGCTTCAGCTGCTGCAAAATGTAGTAGCAGGAGCAGTTATGTATGCTTCAAGAATGACATGCATTACACCTCTGCTTCCCAAGCTGCCAGAATGGTTCTGGATCCAATTCAAGGTATTGGTTATGACTTTTAAAGATCTATATGGCATGGGAGGTTTTTTGAGGGACCACCTCTCCCCAGTAACATCTACCCAGCCCATCAGGTCCGGCAGAAGAGGTGTCAGCCTGGGAGTTTCATCGGGAGAATTCTAGGAGGAAAACCTTCCTGCTGTAACCTCTGATGAACATCATTGTCCCAGAGGTGAAGCTGGCCCAACCCTGTTAGCCTTCCAGAAATGAGCTTCGGGATACCATGATAGAGTGGGATATGTTGGATGGTTATATGATCATTAACTGATGCATTCTCTGTATGTGGGTACAGAAACTGGGTATGGCTAGTCTAATGAAGAAAAGGACCAGGGGAGACATGATAGCAGTGTTCCAATATTTGAGGGGCTGCCACAGAGAGGAAAGAGTCAAGCTATTTTCCAAGGCACCTGAAGGCCAGGCAAGGAATAATGGATGGAATCTGATCAAGGAGAGATTCAACCTGGAAATAAGGAGAAATTTTCTGACTGAGAGCAATCAACCCATGGAAAAGAAGTTGCCTTCAGAAGTTGTGGGAGCTTCATCACTGGAGGCTTTCAAGAAGAGATTGGACTGCCATTTGTCACAAATGGCGTAGGGTCTCCTGCTAGGATGGGGTGGGCTTGGACTAGATGACCTACAAGGTCCCTTCCAACCTAATCTAAATATACATCTCTTTGTGAGCTTCCATTAGGGAATACCTGATTACCACAATGCTAGACTAGATAAATCTTGGGCCAAGCCAGATTGGCTCTATCTTGTTCAAATGGGCAGAGATGCGTTGATTCTCTTGATCAATAATGCAAGTTGCAAACCATTTTCTGGCTGCACATCTCAAACTGCAAGTACATTGGGATGTGCAAGGCAAGCTGAGGTTCCTCTCAGCAGGATGCTTTGTGCCATAGAATGACATCATTCTCCTGATTGAGGCACAGAGGCAGGCAACCCAATTTGCTTCATTGAAGTGCTTGGCTTCAAAGCAATGGTACTGTCATTAGCTGGAAGAGATTTTAGGCATGTAATATTCAGCAACAGAAATCTCTTCCAGTTCCTGAAAGTGTCGGATCATTGGATCTATTGATTATATCTTGGAAAAGCTTACTTTCATACTATTCCCTTTTTATATTTTGCCGTCAAAATATGGAGGACCGATTCCAGAAAATTTATGGAGAAAGAAATTGCCCTTGTCAGTCTGGGAATAGTGAATCACTGACCCACATAGAGATACTCATAGTAAGCTGCTAACACCCCTCATTAGGCCGTTCTGTCAAAGACCAGATTAATTTTACATGAAGCTTCTCTTGGCAGACAAAGAGTCTAAAACAACACTAGCTAAGGGCTGAATTTGCATTTGTATCTTACAGAATTCTGCCTTCATTAACCATAAATTAGCGTGGGACCGATTACTACTTCCATGAAGTGGGGTACCAAGTTTTCACATTGTTCTTATGCCGCTTTACTATACTTCATTGGATTTTACATTGATATGCATGGTAGTATGGGACCGATTACAAAATAAGAAAGAAATACTGGATGAAGCATTTAAGCCTGAGCAACCTGAAGCAACCTAAGAAAGACACCCCACTTTGTTTCTAGACAGCAGAAGAGTCCCTATAGATGTGAACCGGCGTTTCCTATGAAACTTCCCCAAAGCAAAGAATTCTCTTGAAACACTGAAATGCATTTAAGTGTGCATTTTTAAACCAGCATAGCCGTTAATTCAAATACGTTGCATTTTGAAATGTACACTGCATTTCCCTGCGACCCAGATGCTAAACTGAACTTCACCACTGCTATCCCTCTTAACCTTCAACCCATTCCAAGAGCCACAGTTTTATTTGTCAAACATCTTGCCTTACCATGTTCATCACCGTTAAGATATAGGTGGTAACGTTCTCCTTGCTGTGCTTCTCCAGCATTTTCCTATCTGCCACCACCAGCGTTTCAACATTCAAACTTCCACCCTTCTGATTTTTAATGGGGGACCTTTTCAACCTCGCTTGGCTCCCATATTCGTCAGATAATATGAATGTATCTTCAGTGGGTGGTTTAGGACTATCTGAAATGAAACAGAGCAGAAATTTGGAAAAGACTCAGAACTGATTTTGTTGTTCTTGTCATTGTTCTAAGGTGTCGAGTGGTCTAGTGGTCTGAATAAATCTAGGAGAGTATAGAAAAGGCTGAATGCCAATAAAAAAGTTATCTTCAGAGTCCTTTTCAAGATATGTTTGCTCAGTTTTTTGGAAGGGAATGTGTTATCCTGCAACACAAAGAAAGGTGAACAATCTTGAAATCAGTATCTCTGCCTAGTGATTTTTGCATTTGCCTACAGGAAACACGCATTCATCAACCTGCAATAATTTCCTTCCCTTTTGTTTACAGCAGTGCTCTTCAATTTCAGGAACTTTAAGATGTGTGGGCTTCAATTTCCAAAATTCCCTAGCTGGAATGCTGGGAATTGAAGTCCACACAACTTAAAAGTTCCTGAGATCGAAAAAACACTGTTCTGCTGTATCTAAAAACCAGTTCAAATGTTGATGCTGTGTACGCATCCAATCCTTTTCTTCTCAGTTGGGTTGCAGGCAGAGGTGGGTTTCAGCAGGTTCTGACCAGTTCTGGAGAACCGGTAGTGGAAATTTTGAGTGATTTGGAGAACCGGTAGTAAAAAGTCTGACTGGCTCCACCCTCATCTATTCTCTACCTCCCAAGTCCCAGCTGATCGGGAAGAAATGGAGATTTTACAGTATCCTTCCCCTGGAGTGAGGTGGGAATGGAGATTATACAGTATCCTTCCCCTGCCACGCCCACCAAGCCATGCCACACCCACCAAGCCACACCAACAGAACCGGTAGTAAAAAAAATTTGAAACCCACCACTGGTTACAGGCCAACCTCAGAAGCAACAACTCCAAAACAGAGGTACTGTACTGAGGGATAGTACAGAATTGTGATAAGAAGAAATAACACTCCAAGTAAGTAAAGTTTTAGGAAGTTTAGGAGAAAAATGCTGGAAACATATTTGCTTCAAAATAAAACCCATCTGGGCCAAATGAATAGAAATGCAAAGCATTTGTAGAACTGGACCTCATGTTCAAGAGAGGCAGATTTTGCAATATTCCAACATCATATGTAAAAATTAGCATCAAAACCACCCACACTGCAGGACAAATCTCCTATAAACTGTGTATTTTTCTAAAGAAAACTGATCAGGTTCCAGAGTTGAATGAACAAGACTTTGTTTCCATAGGATACTGGGCCTTTACTGTTACCCCTATAAGTGCTTTTGGGAAACAGATTTTTGATTTTTTTTAATCTTTTTTTTAGTCAGGAGTGCCTCTACATATAAAGATGCAGCAGTGGTGAAATGTAAAATTTGTTACTACCGAGCTTGGCTTGGTGGGCGGGGTAATGTGACTGGGTAGGCATGGCAAACTTTTTTTTTTTTTTTACTTTTAAAAGCATTTTTTCTACAACCTCTTCGACTGAAGAGGTTGCAGAAAAAATTGCTTTTAAAAGCCTCTGATGATCAGGCAACTCAGCTGAGATCGTCAGAGCCTTTTAAAAGCCTTTTTCTACCGAAGGCTCTGATGATCACGCGGCTCAGCTAGGATCATCAGAGCCTTTTAAAAGCATTTTTTCTACAACCTCTTCAGCTGAAGAGGTTGTAAAAAACAATCTCTTCAGCCGAAGAGGTTGTAAAAAAATGCTTTTAAAAGGCTCTGACGATCCCAGCTGAGCCGTGTGATCATCAGAGGCTTTTTTTTTCCCTTTAAAAGCATTTCTTCTTCGGATGAAAAAATGCTTTTAAAAGTTAAAAAAAAAGCCTCTGATGATCGTGCACCTCAGCTGGGCATGGGGGGGGAGGGGCAGGGATTTTTGCTACCAGTTCTCCGAACCACCCACCGCCATCACTACCGGATCGGGCGATCCGGTCCAAACCGGGAGCATTTCACCCCTGAGATGCAGACATCTGTTGAATTTGTATTAACAGTTATATGCCTAAACATAGCTACAAAAAATAAAATAAATGGAAACATACACACTTTTTCCAAAGTTTCTAGAGAGGCACAGAAGAAAGCAGAGAGAAAGGTGGAGAAAAAAGAATAGAGATGATCTTCTACTCTCACAGCTTTTAAAACTAGACCCTAATATTGAAGTTAGGCCATAGACACTAAAAGCACTATGGCTTATTTTCAAGGCATAGGCTTAAAGCTCTCTTCAGCTGGACATATAAGATCAGGAAAAGGTATCAATTTATGTTATTATTATATTAATTATTAACAAATTTTCCAGGCCACCTTCTCTTGAGATTAGACTTGCCTTTGCTATTAAGAAGAAGAAAAAAGAAATTATTGAAAAGGGAAAATAGTAATATCAAAGCATACACTGTATTGCTAAACATATCCCTCTATACCTGTCTGTTAGAAAGAAAGAAAGAGAGAAAGAAAGAAAGAAAGAAAGAAAGAAAGAAAGAAAGAAAGAAAGATAGATAGATAGATAGATAGATAGATAGAAATAAAGAAAAAGCTTTGTTAATTTTATATTGAGAATCTTAACGTCTAGGAAAAGCAATCTTCACTATATGTTTGGGGAAATTCACCGCCCTGAGTCCGAAAGGAGAAGGGCAGTATAGAAATTCGAATAATAAATAAATAATAAATAAATAAAATAAATTCATTTCACATTTGACAACCTAGTTTTCATAATCATATTTTAGAATCATCCATCTGTGGAATTCATAGCAGCAATAAAAACATTCTCTATCCTAAAGCAAGCACTGAAATTCCATCTATGGATTCAACTGATGGAAAATGTTAGGTGTCCTGTTTCATATCTCTGCCCCTTCCCCTGCCTTCCATGTATGTGCCTAAAATCCATATTTTGATCTTATATTCTTGATCCATACCTGTCATTTGTCCAGAACTCTAGACTGTACATGTAAAAGATTATCCATATAATTTTATCCAATAGAAGCTGAAGTAGAATCAACTGATAGGACCCTGAATCATGATTTAATTTCTATACAGAAATACATGAATAAATCAGGAATTATAGTATTATAAGGTGGAATTCTTAGACTGTAATCTACACTAACCATATACTTTTCTCCATGTCACTGTAAATCTCATCAAGAAATGATTTCATAGAATATGAAACATATAATAAGCAATAACCCGCTGCTGTATGTAAGCATCTCTACAGGGAAAATGTCTGCCTTCTGTAGTTGTGGATTGCCTGTATGAAAACATCTGATTATCTGCAGTCAGATCATGCTTTAGCACAACTAAAATTACACTACTTGCAATTTACTGCTGAAAGTCATGGGGGAAGAGGGCGAGTAAACATTTGTGTGTTATAGGAAATTTAGCACAATAATCTTACAAGAATGAAACAGAAAAGTCACTACTTCAAAAATATTTAATGGGAACTAACAAGCTAAGTGTTATGATATGGTTGTGTTAACAGCATCAACTTTTGATGTGTTCTTCAGCACACATATCTCCATATGTCTAGAATAAGCTTCTGTAATTTGAAACCTTCTATAGAAGCTGGACTATAACTTCCACCTCTGACCATTCTGGATGAAACACGGTGGAAGTTGTAATCTAACATCTGCAAAGAACATCAGGTTGAGAAGTCTGATAAAGTATCTACTATTAATGTCTGGACCCGTTAGCATCCTTTAAAAAAAGACCCAATTATTTAGTTCTTCATGTGCTCATTAGATGCTTACGTGTATCCATTGACACTAGCACTCTATCCTACTTAAAGATATTTTGAACATTCTGTTCTTAAAATGGCCATATGGCCATATGGCATATAACAGAAATTTATGGCCATATGGCATATAACAGAAATGACTAACTCCCAAAACAGACCATTTCAAATGGCCCATGTTGGGTTTGGAGTGCTTCAGGTTTAGGTCATTTCTGAAGTCCTTCCAAGATAAAAACTTATCTGTGACAGACTCTTTGGATACTTCCACATCTGAATCAAGCCTGCAAATCTTGAGCACAACAATAAGAACTTAATATTCTTACGGACTATTATGTCAGAGAGAGAGACAGAGACAGAGACAGAGAGAAAGAGAAAGTTTCCTTACATACATTTCTTGCGCCGTCCACAAAAATGCTGCTTTTGAAACCTTCCATGGTGGTAATCGTTAGCTGGAATGTGATACTTGTGGGCAGTGAGATTGCTGTGATGGTCAGGGGGAAAGTGGTAAAGATTTGGATCTACTTTGTGCCGGTGCACTTTCTCTTCAGCTGTCCGTTTATACAATACATGAGGATGGTGTCCAGCAGGTGGCATATAGTGAAGTTCCTGTGCTAGGTGTTGAGGTAATGGTGATATAAGGAAGTCATTCTCCTGTGTCCTTATCAAACCGGACTAAAGACAGAAATATAAAGGAAAGTAATGGTTATAAACAGATTCACTAAAAAAAAAAGTCACAAATGATCAGCTTAGATCCTTCTTTGAGGCATCTATCCATGTGGATGATCCAACCATCCTCTAATATCTCTAAACACCCCACAAACCCCTACTGGTGTCAATGTATGGTCTGCAACTTCGTAGTGCTACGTTTTTCCTCCAATAGCTACCCAAACTTACTCTAGGTGAGAACACTTTCCCAGACATTGTTGTGACCTAGGCTTCCTGAGTCATTAAAACCTCTTTTATTGCAACAGCTATGAATTACATTCATTCACAGCGGAGTCCCAATTAGTTGCAAAAAGTGCTTCGGGAGAAGTCCTTCAGGATAATCACCAACTTTTATCTCCCTTGACACTCTGTCAAAGACCTACTTGGCAAAGTCCCACGGAGTTCAGAATCAAACAGAGATGCCGACCGGGAACAGAATTAACAACGTTGCTTTCCTGCAAAGGGCCCACATGCCTTTGCTCCTCTTTTAAGGAGGGGCCAATAAGAGGGGCCAATCATCTCCAGGCCTTACTCCTGAGTCGTCCCTTTTGTTTTAACTGTTCTTGCCTTCTGGCAGCTCTGCGCATGCTCCCCCTGTTCCTCTGCCTTTCTGATGTCCAACTCTGGAGGCTCTGGAGTCTGCACATAACTCCCAGATGGCCCTGGCCCCATCTCTGCTTCTGACACAGAGCCCTCATCCGAGCCTTCCCCAGACTCCAGGACTGGCCCATATTCCTCCCCAGCCTCCTCACTGCCCGATTCTGCTGCCAGCTCCGCAGGCTGCTGGCGGACCACAACAGACATGGACCTATCAGTCCAATGACACGCGTGTCTTCAAAATCAAAACAAGTGGGTATCATAGAAGACTTTTCTTGCAGGAAGATCTGGAAAGGCTCCAATGTTTTTCAGAAGAAAACACCAAAGGAATGCCAAAAGAAGCAAATAAGTTTAAAGAGAAACTTATTTCCTCCTCCTATAGAAAAGTTTCATCCATCAAAAGTACTTTTAGAAAGTTCTTGCTTTCTAGAATGGCCTTGTGCATGAAATAAAAAATCTTCGCACGAGGGAATTCTGTCTTTATTCTCCTAATCTACCACTGCTTCATTCAAGCTAACTCACCCTGAATCCACTTTTGTTCTTAGAGAGGTGCAAATACTTCATTATGATGAAGCTTCAAACAAAGCATCCTTTCAAACAATGAAAGCTGGGATTCCAACAATGGAATCCTAGCTTCTAAGCCTGAAGATGGCATCCATATTGTTTTACTTCAATCTTCATAGTGCTTTCTCCTGCAGAGCCTGGGCTATCACACAAGGCTGAAAGAGAGAGAGACCTGTCCTGCAATCTTGGCTGAAAAATCTTACATCCATGTGGCTCCATACAGATCTTCAGGAAACCATGGAAATATGTGCTGGAGGGATTTCTTGGAGAAATACTATAAAATACTATAAAAACCATACTAAGAAGGCTTCCAAGTTAGGGAATACCATAGGGTATTTCAAAGCACTCCTGGGAGGCAGTCTAAAAACTAGAATCTAGAACCACGTTAATGTAGGTCAGGGGTCTGCAACCTTAAACACTCAAAGAGCCTTTGGACCTTTTTCCCACAGAAAAGAAAACACCGGGAGCCACAAAACCCTCCCGTGCCTGACTATTTTCTGAGCAGCCACAGAACTAGCATATGTAGTTGAATTTAACGTTTTGTTTGAAACATTTGTTTTCTTGGATTTATCCATGGTTGGCCTACCAGGGGTTGAAAAGCTCCATAAATCATGTGCCGGCGGGTGTCGCACATTGGCGGTTGTGATACATATTTTGAGTGACAGGGAGCCACAGCAGAGGGGTGAAAGAGCCACATGTGGCTCCAGAGCCACAGGTTGCTGACCCCTGATGTAAGTTGTGGATGACACTGAAGGTACCAATTTAGAGTTATAGGTACCAACTTACAGGATGATTCCCAAGCTGACTACCTTCATTACAGATTGTAAGTTTATTTCAAGCCACGTTACTTAAAAGCTTTTCAACCAGCAGCACAGAAAGTTAGTAGAAGCCTTCCATCACAACGTTGGCCAGAAGCAATAAACTGAACAAACTCAAGCACATCTATGTTACTATGTCCTTAGCAGGTGGTAGTTTAACCTCCGTTTCAGAACCACAAGAGATCTAGATTCTTCCATCTGGGGCCATTTAGTATGTCCCAAACCAATAGGTCTGATTAAGACCCTGTTCCTACTATGAAGCCTCATCTGGCAAACCTCAGCTAAAGGCCAGTTTGAGAGACTCTGCATCCACCAGCATAAATGTTTAGTTATACAGTAGTGGCCAAAATTGTGGAAAAGTGTATTTTCTAAAACTAGCTAACACCACCACTGTTTTTTGGAGTAGTACCATAAAATTATATATCAATGGAAAGAGAATTTAATCAAGAATGTAATGCAATAACTTTTATGAACGATTTGCTATTAGAAGGATTGCTTCTATTCACTGGGTATTATTGCTGGGTCGCTTCTGACTAACAAGTTTCTTTAGTCGTCTCCATAGATTTTCAATTGGGTGAAGGTCTGGGCTATTCCCAGGCCATTCCAGCAGTGGAATAGGATTACCTTGAAACTCCCCCCCAAAAAATGTGGTGTTATTAGCCATCAAACCTCAAAAATATACTTTCCCCAAAAGGTTTCCACAATGTTGGCCACTACTGTACGTAAGAAATGCTTCCGTTACATTTTGTATCTGCATTTAAACTAAACTGCCTGGGATAGAAAATCAATGGAACCATATTTGAACCTCTGCCCAAACCAAGGCAGGCTAAAATAATTTAGTGCATGCTAGTACATCTAAATGCGCAGCCACTAGTAGAGTCTACACTTTAAAAAATGTTGCACGCAAGCAACGGTACGTATTCCTCCTTTCGTTTAAAGGAAGCCCAAAGCCTTTGCTTTTGTTTTTCATTTAAGTAGGAAAACCCACTTTTGTGCATTCAATTAGAAGACCTTAGAGGAAAAGAAAGTCAGTTGCATAAAACCATAAATGAAGACAGCTGTCAGCCAAACTGGCCTTTTCCAACTCCATCCATTCTTTCCATTCAGCATGGCAAGGAAGTCTTATCAGCCATCTTCAACCAATAGTCTCCCTTTTCTTGGGGTAAAACTGAGAACTCTTGGTTTATCTTACTGGCTGGGGAATTCTCGGAGTTGAAGTTAAAAGTTGCCAAGGTTGAGAAACACTGGTCTAGCTTCTAAAGGTCTACTTTTAGCAAGGGTGGGCTGCTGGGGGTTCGCAGGGGTTTGGCAGAACCTCTAGCTAAGATTCTGTGCAGTTCGGAGAACCCACAAATCCCACTCCTGGCTGGCCCCGCCCATCCCACCCCTCCCAGAAGGCTTCACATGGCCCATTTTGGATGCAGGTAAGTGCAGGGTACGCATGGAGGCTTGTGGAGGGTGAAAAACAGGCCTACCAGAAGTTCGCAAAGGCCAGAAATGGGCCCATTCCCAGCCTCTGGAGGGCCTCCGGAGCCTGGGGGGCCGTTTTCACCCTCCTGGAGGCTCAAGGAAAGCCTCCGGAGCCCAGGGAGGGCAAAAAGTCCCCCCCCCACCCGTGCCATGGTGCAGGAGGCTAACTAGGCCACACCCACCATGGCCATGCCCACTGAGCAACCAGGCACAGAACCCCTTGCTAAAATTTTTGAAGCCCACCCCTGACTTTCAGACCCTACATCAAAGACATAAAGGACAATCAGAAGGGAGGCGGGAACTAAAGAAGGTGCATGCGTTTGAGTCTGGGAATAAGAAAGCTAACAAGTTTAGCCTCTCTGCAAATAAATCCAAAATAATGAACTGGCTCACATATTCAGTCCCAGTTTTTGTAAATGAGTGTGCCAAAGTCTGCCCCACAAATTTTCAATGCTAATATTTTGATTTCTGCTTTATAGTTGCTTCTGTTTTTCTCACAGCTAAATAAATATTCTGCTAGACCTGTTTATTTTACAAGAAGGATACTGATCTTGTGCAGTTCCATGTATTAAACTCATGCTACAGCCATCATGACTAATGTGGTACCATGCAATTTTCCCGGCGATACAGGAGTTTACTAATTTTCTAATTTATTCTCAGAATCCTGGGGAATTGTTTTCATCTTTCTCTTGGCATTTATCAGTCAATTTGAGAAATTTGCTGATGATTGTTGTATGACATGTGTAATTTTACTACTGAGCTGTTACTGAAACTATTTCCTAGCAGACATCTTCCCATCATTCTGAAGCCTCGCTGGTTGTCCCACTTTCCCATTCTAAAGAACTCCAATGACAGTTCTGTGGGATTCAATCAAAGCTATAAACATTTATCGACTGTGTTTATAAATATTTGCACATCTTAGTTTGATCTTCCAAGATGATTCTTGGCAAGAACAAAAGAAACAAAGGAACATATTCTCTGTGCTGGCAAATCTGGACATCTTGAATAGATAGTTTGCTTTCCTAGTTTGTTTTAAATAACCTAACTGGAAAATTGTGAAAAGTGGAATTAGCTCTGCCACTTTCCTATAATGCTACCAAATACAAGAAACATTGTCAGTCATAGATGTCATCAATAGATCTGCCTGCAAGGAAAAACTGGCCCTCTAAAGCCCTCATTTTACGCAAAAGATGGGAAATTCCTCTCTGCCAATGGAGGGGACCACTGCTCCATCCAACTCTGTTTTTTAAAAAATATTCTCTTAAATAGAGAGTTTGGGGGGGTTCCAGAACAATTTAGGATCTATTTAACAAAATACAAAAATGCATTATGCAGCTGTAAAAATTCTCTGGTATGTACCCTCCCTCCCTCTCTTGTGTGCACGTACACACACACAC